TTCCCGCTGAGCAGGGAGCCCGATGCGGGGCTGGATCCCAGGACCCTGGGATCATGACCTGAGCCGAAGGCAGACGCTTAATGACTGAGCCAGCCAGGCGCCCCTAAATATGCATGTTAATATTGCTAGGAAAACGTCTGAAATAGGCCTGACTGTTTAACTTCCAAACAAGTACAAGAAAGAATTTAAAAAGAAAAAAGAAGAAACCCCTCATTCCAAAAGAAGGAAAGAAATCAGGGGAAAAACTATTTGAAAAGACATAATAAAATAAGAAGTAAAACACTTGGAATGATAAATATAAATGCTAAATTTGTCAATTAAAGGAAAACAATTTTCAGACTAACAACTCTGAGAGAAAAAGAGATAGACAAATACTAATCTAAGCTGTTATAACTATATTAATATCAAAGTAAACTTTGAACAAAAAAATGTCATTGAAATGTGTCAGTACATACATTCTGAACTTGTATACAGTGAATAATATAGCCTCAAAATATAAAGCAAAAATTAACAGGAATCAAAGATAAATGCCCAATGGAGTGGGGGATTTTTACATAATTTTCTAAGTTAATAATAGATTAAGCAAACAAAAAAGGCTGAGCACAATTAAGCTCATTCTAATGGACATGTATAAACCATGCATATCATTTTATAGACTACATTTTTTTTCAAGCAAATATGAAAGTCTTTGAAAATTGATCATGTGCTAGGTCATAACATGAGCCTCAAGAATTGTCATAAAAACCACATTCTTTGACCACAATGTAGTTATGACAAAAAGATAACTAAAAAAAAAAATCCCAGCTGGAGAAGTTAAAATCCAACAAAGTTTTTAGAAACACGAGTCTAAAGAGAAATTGTAATGGAAACATGAAAATACTTAAAACTGCACAATGGAAATATTAAAATAAAGTTGTGTATGTAGTTAAAGCAATTAACTTAGAGGAAGATTTATAGCCTAAATTCTTCCATTAGGAAAGAAAAAAAGGCTCAGTATGAATGAACTAAGCATGTGAGGAGTTAGAAAATTAAGAATATAATAAATCTAAAAGAGAGGGTGAAAGAGCATATATCCATGATACAGGAAATAAATATTCAATAAAGAGGATCAATGAGATAAACATTGATTCTTTGAAGAGACTAAAAATAGAGAAGTGTCTGGTCAGGTTTTTCAAGAAAAAGAAAAAAGGGATATCTCAAATAAACAATAAAAGGGATGAAAATGTAGATATAACTACTGATTCAGTAAAGAATAAATGAAAAAAGGATGTCATGAACTTTAAACCAGTAGTTTTGAAACATACACGAAATGTATAAGGAAAAATATGTTTATCAAAATTAACACTGATTTAAAGAGAAATAGAAAATATGGGTCGTGTTTTAGCCTCGAAGTAAATCATATCTCATAGTTTAAGATTTTTCCACAATGAAAACAGCAAGCCTAGATGGCTCTGGAGTTATATTCTACCCAGTGTTTAAAGAATAAATCATTCTATTTATATACAAACAGTTCCAAAGAATAGAAGAAAGTATGATCACTGATTTATGAGATTAGCAATACTCTAATGCAAAAGACAGACAAGGGTTGTAGAAGAGAGGAGAATCTCAATTTCACTCATGAACTTGGCTAAAAAATCCTAAGTAAATTGTTAGCAAAGCATATCCTGCAATAGAAAGATAATATCAGGTTGTGTTTTGCCAGGAAGGCAAGTTGAATAATACTAGACAATCAGTTTTCTAGAAATAACACTTTCGGTGAATTGTCCCAACCCTCCTACTAAATGCAGAGAGATTGGACAAATTGCACGTACACACACATACACACAAATCTTCAAAGCATCAGAGAACTAAGAATGTAGTGAAGAATCACTGGGCCATCATCAGGAAAGGATTGACCTACTTTTCCCCTGGAAGTTGGGGATGGGGAGGGGGAGTTTACTGACCACCGAAGAAGCAAGTGAGAGGCTGAGTAGGCCTTTCAAAAGTCATCCAGAGCTAGAGCAATTGAGGGTCAAGTCCAGAGCCCCCCAAAGTGTGTGCAAATGGAGGGAGGTATTGGTAAAGTCCTCATGTTTTGAGTTGGCCTGTGTCCTTGGACCAAGGGTGAACTGTAAGAAGACCAGAGCACGTGGGCATTTCAGCCCAGCTTCAAATCATCCCAGGCACAGGAAATGCAGTAAAGTTATCTGGTATTATAAAAGGGCCCCCAGGTGCTGGCAGAAGCAGACAGAAATCCTCTCTGAGAAAGATATCATCCTCCTAGGATTCAAATTATTTTGTATTTTTTCAAATTCAATGAGTGGTACTCAGTACAGAATAATCAGGCAAACAAGGAGGAAAGGCAACATGGATGAAAATGGGTATAAACAACAAAATAGAAACAGACCCAAAAGAAGTTATTACAAACACATGAAGGAGATGTAAGTCACCAATATTCAATCTGTTGATTAAATTACCAGGAAATGTGTTCATAAAAAAGCTGGAGAAAATGTAGAATTGCACATAAGAGGGGAAAGTAAATTTCAGTTTACGATGGAAGGTTTGTATATTTATAAAATAATTTGTTAGGTATATGAATCTTTTTATAGCTTTGTGTACCTTTTCCTATGATATATTCTTCCCAGCTAGTATTTTATTTTATTTTTTATTTTTTTAAGGATTTTATTTAGTTATTCGACAGAGAGAGAGAGAGCACGAGCAGGGGGTAAGGCAGAGGGTAAGGGAGAGGCAGGCTCCCCGCTGAGCAGGAGCCCCAGGATCATGATCTGAGCCCAAGGCAGATGCTTAACTGACTCAGCCACCCAGTGCCCCCCCAGCTACTATTTTAAAATAAGATCAAGAGCAGGGCGCCTGGGTGGCTCAGTCATTAAGCGTCTGCCTTCGGCTCAGGTCATGGTCCCAGGGTCCTGGGATCGAGCCCCACATCGCATCGGGCTCCCTGCTCCGCGGGAAGCCTGCTTCTCCCTCTCCCACTCCCCCTGCTTGTGTTCCCTCTCTAGCTGTCTCTCTCTCTCTGTCAAATAAATAAAATCTTAAAAAAAAAAAAAAAAAAAAAATCAAGAGCCCATCAGTGTGGGCTGATTTAAAACTTCATTTGTTAGAAATCGGAGAATTAGGCCTACAGCAACAACCCCAAAGAAAAGCATACATAAAAACCTAATTGCTTTGAAAAGGATCTAGATCGGCAGAATGTACTACAGCATTCTTTATTCGTGACACATGTTATTGTCGAATCGGCCTCACCAGTAACTATACAAATGGGATCGCTTTGTGATGAGTGTCATACAGGGTTGTGCCCGGTCCTTGGGTGGAGGAGAAAGTTGCTGTTTTCAGTTGCACTTTATAAAAGAGAAGTAAGGCACATGTAGGTTGTAAAAAATAAATGTTTTTGTCTTTACATGAGACATAGAAGCTTTTTTTTTTTTTCCCCTGAGTTTTAACTGAAGTCTTCTGGCCACTTTTCCTCTTTCTGCAGAATGAACATGTCGATTACGTAGATGTTGGCGGGGCTTATGTGGGGCCAACCCAGAACAGAATCTTACGGTTATCTAAGGAGCTGGGTCTAGAGACTTACAAAGTGAACGTAAATGAGCGTCTTGTTCAATATGTCAAGGTAAGTCTGACGTTTGACTCAAGTGACCAGTGGGAGAGAGCACTGTATTCGGGAAAACATTTGGTTTTGTTTTTAGTTGTTTTTTTCTCAAAGCAATTGTACCAATAGGCTCTCAGCTTTACAGTAGTATTCCATGTTTTCTTTTTTTTTTTTCTTTTTCTTCTTAAAACATCCTTGTGGACTCTGGGAATCTCTGCCAGGGGTCAGGCCTCGGCTTGGCCCTCTTCTGCATCACCCACTGTAGCCCTTGAAGGCTGCACCCTCACCCCCAGTCCAACTGGAGTAGGGGTAGGAGGCTCTCAGCA